CACACACACACACACAAACATACACACACATACACACATACATACACACACAGACAGGGTCGTCTCTATATGCGTTTTTGCAATTTGCATATAGGCAAAAACGCATAAAAAGGAAGTCTGAGGGGAGAGGGGTAGAAAAAAGTTAATTTAAAATGTTTCAATCCAATAAGTCAAGGAGCTGAGCACTAAAACTAGACCACGTCAGCACAACAACGGCGCGACAAATATAGAAAGTACAGGGAAGTAAAAGTTATCTTTGCTCGAAAAAAGGCTTTGAATAAATAACTAAGATTTAATTTTGCAAATTCATGACTGTAGCTCCAACTCATTTGGGAAAGTAAAGTGTGGATAAATTTCGACGGTCGTTTGAGCTGGAAATTTTCTAACACTCAATTACACAAGTACCAATCCATCACTGAAATGCACCAGCTTCTTGAGTCGAGCGTCTGTTGAGACGATCCACCAAGGTGGTTGGCATTAACCGAACCCTTCCCTCACTTCCACTTTGTCTTTTGGCCATCCCTGTCCCCGATATTTTATCGCTACGAGTCAAACTTAAAGTGAAAACCGAAAATACCTCCGTAACTCACTAAACCGAATTTCTTCAGTCTTTTTCTAGAAAGATATAACAAGAGTTCTACTTTTTCTACACATCAAAAATTTTGCCGAAGGCTCTTCAAAATAGGTTCCAGTTCAAACACTTCTCTTAATAATCATTTTGAAAGTTTTGCCATAATGAAATTTTTGCAAATAATGGCTATGCGCCTTTCTTAATTGTTCAGTTATTTTTCTATCCTTTTTTAATATAGCTGGTCCGTATTTGTTACGTCATCCATGGCAAAGTTACATTATTGTTGTTGTTTTAGCGCAATAGCGCATGTGTTTGGGAAACGGCAGAGACCATAAACTAACTAAAAAGCAAAAGTTGACTTCCTAATGCATAAACATGAAGAGCAGATTCGAAAACGATTATAAATGATGACAAATACCCAATACACCTAATCAAAAGTCAAAACAGAAAATACTAAAGAAGTATGAATGATGATATATTCTTAGCGGAGACTAAAGAAAAAGCAATAAATAGCAGCTCGTACTGGAATAGCTGGTATGATCACACCTTTTTTGCAATTCTGTCCCCAAATGATTGCCCGCCAATGATTTTCACTGCTTTGTATTTTAGTCTGTGCAAAAATAGTTGAGATGCTGAAAAATAATTAAAAATTTCATAACAGGCACGTGAAAACTGAATTTGAAAACTCGAATGGTGAATATCATTCCAAAATTTCGATTTCCTAATTTTCTAGCTTTTGAATGATCTTTGAAACAAAACTTTCGCGCAGTCGTAAGCGAGACCTTGACATATCTAGGAACTGAATTTGAGCTTGTGAAGCCCTGCTTAGACAGGAAACATTCTCCTAAAATTTTAAGTCTACTAGCATTTCTGGCTCCCGACATAATGATTTTCCTCTCCGAAACTTCCACGGACACTTTGAAAATTCGCGGAGTTGCATGTGGGCAGGGGGAGCCACGCTAAAATTTCAGCTTCTTAGATTTCGCC